TTTTTTTTTTTTTTTGGTAGGTACAGGGAATCAAACTCACACTTGGTGGAACCACTGAGTTAAAGCCCCAGCCCTTATTTTTTATTTGTAGTAAAAGTTTCCAGCTTACTTTTTTTTTTTCTTCAAAAAAGTCAGCAAGCTAGAGGTTTAGCTCAGTGATTTCACCGCCTGCCTTGCAAGCACCTGTTAATAAAGGACTTAAGTAATTAAAACAAGATTAGAATCTAGAGAAGGACCAAGGATTTGCAATTAGCAAGCCTTCCATGCTCTGAGTTGGGACCCCAAAACTGAGTTCAGACATTACAAAAGAACTACAGTTGCTCTCATTTGTGGATATAGATACAAGAATTCTAAACAAATATACCGGTTACATCATTGCAGGCAAGTAGGACTTGTTCTAAGAAGGCAGATACGTTTATAATCAGAAATGAATAAGTAGAGTCGGGACCATAGGTGACAGTATGATCTCTTTTTCTGCCTGCTTTTTTCAGCATAGTGATTTTGAGAGTCATCCATTTGGTTGTGTTTTAAAATTCACACAACATAGAACCCAGGACTTTGCACATGCTAGGCAGGCACTGCTACTGAGTTACTGTATTTTTCATATTTCCCAAAAGGCACAATGGGGCTTATTTTCAGGGGGTGTCTTATTTTTTCATGTACAGTAATCTACATTTATTCATATACAATGGTCTACATTTATTCAAATGACCTGATGCAATCATGTCATCATCTGAAACATTGTCGTAACTCTCCAAACCCCAATTTCTTGTGACTCCATTTCCTGTGGAGCCTCTGATCCCAATCTCTCCTGTCCAGCAACAGAGCTGTCCTTAAATGCGCACTTCTTGTCCTTGCAGCCTACTTAGTACTGTGGCAATACAGCTATCAGTGATTTTGTCCCATGAATTCTTCACCCAAGACACAACCTATTGCAGGCTGGGCTTCACAAAGTTTCCATTAAATCAAGTGCTAATTGTACAATGAGAAAGAAAAAAAAAAGTGCTGATTGGAGATTTACAAGATAAGAATGGCAACAAAAATTATGACAGTTAAAATAATGGTGCACACAAAAGCAACAAAAAATTGTAGGCACAAATTCAGAAAATGTTCTTTATTTCACACAAGGACATTAAGTACAACTGTTATAACACAGTGTATTGAATTTATCAAGGGTATAAGTTGTGTTTGTAATCCAATTGGTCATTCAGTAGTAATTCACAAGTTCATCTGTTTACGTAGACATTTACCTCTCATCCAAAGGCACCCACTTGGATATTTACAAAAAATTAATTATAATTTAATATTACTTAAGTATAATGTTATTTATATTTAATTACATATTAATATTACTTTATAATTCAGTATGTCCATCATGTGTTACAATGGACATACTAAATGTGGCCATCTGGGGACTTATTTTG